ACTTTAGACACATGAGTTGTATGATATTTAATTTGGACACTGATGGGCAGTTACTGATCCAAACACATCATGGTTTGGAGGGTTATCTTCATTGGATTCTCAAATTGACCCTTTCATCAATGACTACTATCTTTTATAGGTCATTGTCATTTTTGAAACAGCCCTCCTTACCCTAATCACACTTGACACCCATGAATTTGATTTTTCCTAATTAGTTCTATAATTTTAAATAAGATTTATCCCTCACATTTTAAAGGGAATAAAAAGGATTGAGAATTTAAGAAAGGAGCACTAATTGCAAGGGCTTTTTAGGACCACAACACCACTTGAATTCAAGGGATTTTAATTTGTGGTCCAACTTTTCTCAGGTCATACACATTATATATTTATGTATACACACATTGTATTGTTGAATGCCATAAATTTCATAGTCCTAAACACATGGTGTCTACAAACATATTAATTTCGCTATTCAAAAATCTTACCATTGGATAGCATACATTGATACATTAACAATTAATCTCTGTCCCATACCTCCAAAAAATAATAATAATAACCCGTGTCACTTTCTCGTAAAAGATTCCTACCACCTTCTTTTTATTTTTTTTACTCACACATATATACCTTTCCTAAGATTCAAATCCCTGATTTCCCTTTGAAAAGTAAGAGCCGAATACCTCCACCTGTTTGAGTAATGTCACTTTAAATTCGAATTGCACAATTTATTTTACACATTTGAAAAGAATCATATGCATCTAAAAGGTGATTTTTAAATCTATGAAATTTGCCACTTCAACATTTATATTAAAAATGAAAAAGAAAATTATTCCTAGTATTTTAATTTTCAAGTTTTAATTATTGAATAATCTAGATCAATAGTTTGAAGATCTATCCAAGCCCAAAAAGAATCAAGTTCAGACTAAGACCCATGTGAGAAGAAGTAGGGTGAGCCTATTTGCCTAACCCAACATGTGAAAGATTAGTTGTCACACAGTAGGGCATTTTTGGAATCAATAGAGACAGTGCTATCATGTTATAGACCTAAGGGGTACCATAACTAGTACGGCAAACAAATAATAGCTCAACTTGATCTTGCTTTTCATAGTCACATTTGCACATGTTGGGCCAACCTTTAATAGAGACTTAGACCCTAATGGTGATAGTTGACTGTACATTGCAATCGCGGCCACACAATTTAGTGTTTGAATTAGGATGGATGGGACGACACAGAGTTTATTCAAAAGTCGTTAGTGACTATAATTGAATGTTAGACTTAACATTATTTTATACAAAGTGATTGTTTTTATATTTAAATTTACAATTTGTTCTATTAGAGTCCTCACTTTCGTCTTGCTATATCTACAGTACCAAATTGATAATTTGAATTTAGACATGAAGAAGAATTAGTTCAAACGATGCTCCGACATTTAAGTATTTGTAATTTGATTTGGTATTCTGGGTGTTTTTAGGGCCAATTGGCTGGTAATATTGGTCAGTTCCTATTGTCTAATTAATAGTCTAATATGTCAATAAAGTTGGGCTGGTCCTGGTTCATCAATTACAGTCCGAGCTGTGGGCTTCATAGTCCATGAGCCACTGTTTGTTTCCCCTTTAAAGTTCATTTCAACCCAAGAATGAAGAAGCCCACTAGGGTCTTTGCAAACTTTATCTTGGGCCCTTTCAATTTTTTTTTTTTTTTTTTAATTTTTTATTGTTATTTTGGTTGAATGATCAAAATTCTATCAATTTAAAAAATCTTACTCGCACCATTTAGAAAATTGAAATAGATCCTCTACGGTGTGCTGTATCGATTCGTTTAATACGGTATGATATCTTGTGACCTGTCTAATGTAGTACAACACGTGTAGCATACTTCAGAGATGTCAACTATAAAAAAACATACAAGAATTTCATTTAGGTCTATGAAAACAACCAAATGTCACTTTTGCAATAGTAGCAACCATTGTATGGATCATGCAATTTTTGGAAAATATAGAGAACTTTGTTATCAAAGACTATTCATTTATCAACATAGAGAATTGGGCAAAGGTTGTTGAAGAGACATTAACAGCTCAGTGGTGCTATGTATGATAAGATCTAGAATAAATTGACAAGGGTGGTTCCAAGAATTGATTCGTTTTAATGTAGAGATCAAAAAAATTTGCAGGAAAATGATTCTCGAGAAAACTACATTAAAACAAGGGAAAGGTAAAATAAGCTAAAGAAACATTTTTTTATTTTTTTTTAAGAAAAAAAAATTCTAAATCAAATTGTACATTTTTGTAAGCCATGTTCACAGGACCTACAAAATGTACTACCTCATCTGCAATCATATGATCAGTTCCTTTACCAAAAAAAGAAAAAAAAATTCATCTGAATTCTTCATGACTTTAGATGGTGTAGCAAAGGATACAGTGATTGAATTGTTGAGAGGATATTCTCAATAATTCAAATCGAACTATGATCAAAAAGTAAAAAAAAAGAAAGTACCATAAAATATCAAGTTAGGTGTTAGCTAAAAATAAGTGAAGATACTCTGTTTCTAGATGAATTACATATTACCTAGTCGAAAGCATATATTCATAGTCCAAACATGCACTTTTGATATTACAGATTTGACTTCTACCCAATTCAAATGAACATATACCTAAGCTTAGTTACTTAAATACTACCTAACTTGATCTTTTCTGCTTTAACAGCTCACATGCAAACATATGCGCATTTGATCATGATGAATTTGAAAATATATATATATATATATATATATATATATATATATATATATATTCTATATGAAAATAAAATGAGAAATTTTGTAGTTCAGGAATTGCATTCTTCACATATCTTTATCACATGTTCTTAATGGCCCAAATTAAAATGATTGTTTCCACTTGTGTTGTACCTACTGAATGATAGATCCTAGGGTTTTATCTCTCTAATGTATCACGGGGTGCATAAAAAATACTGGAAGGTTTGGTTCGATTTTTTCAGGGTTTGATTCAATTACAGTTTTAAAAATATGAAATTGTTTATAAACGGTCTCACCCAAAGGAAAGAGGAAAGACTTCATTGCACTGGTGATACCGTGTCACTGGTATAATCAAACAACTATTAGGTTGATATGGTGAGCCGTTGATAGTACTTTTCCTTAAATTGTGGTCCTTAATTGGTGCCACTGATTTTCTTTAATTGGGAATTTTTTTTTTCAATTAGGCCAACATTGTATCTATTTATTGTGCTGCTGCCATCTCCTTGAGACATCAATATATGGTGACTCATTATTTTAATTAATCATTTCTTCAGACTCAACATATTACAGAGTAAGAAAAACTTCTCATCTCTTCTCTCGTAAACTATAGTGGCTGAACCACGTAATATATTCTTGTGTTGTTCCTTCTTTAATTCTCTCTTCATTCTTATATTATTCTACAAACTATATTGTTACATAAGCAAAAATACATTTTTCTTACTCTTATTTCCTTCTTTACTTCCCTCTTCAATCTTAGATTATTCTACATTATATACTGGTAAGTGAAAATGCATTCATTTTATTAGTGGATCTCATCGCTACAAATTAGTGTCAGCATTTAATCAATCTCTTATACTTTTTCATCGATAGTGTATCACTGTACCCAACGTAGGGAAAAGGGATATAACAGTGCTAACAGTTTACTACTTGATTAACCCTAATGTTCCTTTAGTCCTTTCCAACTAGATTCTTTATTAATTAATTCCCTTCAGAAACCAAACTCAAGACCTACTGCAAAGTGGGTTTCAGTTTAAGCTGTAATCACCTTTCAACTACATTATTAAAGAACAAGTCCAACGTAACAACCAACATGATTAGATATGTGGGCCCAATTAAACTTGATAAAAATACTCACTGATCTTTTAAGATGGATTAGAATCATTAGATTATTTCATTCAAGATAATTGGCCAAGAGTTTCACCCCAAAATTATAAATAAAAACAGGTTATATATAAGAAGGGTCAAATGAGTATTTGTAGCGTACCGTTATACCTCTAGCGCAGATGATATGATCTTTCCTCTTTAAAGGAGAAGTTGAGAGTTTGAATAACATTAGGGGCATGTTATAAATATGAGAGTGTGTGTTTGCTTTAACTTCCGAAAAAAATAAAATGTTATTAGTGTAATGGAGTATAATATACTAAATGGAATAAGTGAAATTATATTTGCATAATCAAACTTTGGGTTCCTTGATTAACACATGAACCAAAGATGTTTCTTACTTTACTTTTTCTATTTTTACTTTTTACCTTTTCTTTTAGTAAGTCATCTGCTCATATATACGATTGTTTTTAATTTTCAACCATTCTTTTGAAAAGTAAAGAAGATACCACTGAAAAAGCACTCGGCGGCCGTGCTTCCTCTTTAATTTCTTCTTGGAGTTGTTACAAATTTCCTTACTTGAACATAATTGATAGGCTAAGTTGATTAGGTATTCCTATATCATTCAACTTTAGCTGCACATGATGCACCGGATGAAGACATAAAGGAAAGATAAGAATGTTCTAGGAGCAAAACCCTACCCTTTCAAACGAATAATTAGGGAAAGAAGCACATGGTTCATCAAGGAAGACACATGAAAAATCAGCTGATCACATCAAACAACAACTTCAATACAGACACATCTAAGATCCATAACTTTTCCCATCTTTTAGTCCTCCTTTCCTCAAATAGATTTTTCTTTCCACATAATAAAAAAAATCATGAACCAGAGACATCATAGCATCTGAATTCTCTCTTTGTGCTTATTCCATTCGCTTAATGAAAAGAAAGATCGAGAATCACAACAACATCAACCAAATCTTTTTCTAATTACTTAGAGTCGGCTAATGAAAACAAAAAAATCGAATCATGATTTATAACACAAGATATTTCCCTTTCTTGCATGAGATATAATTATCATAGAGCAATTAAAGTAAGTCATGTTCATCAAGCTTGAAAAATATTACAGAAATCTCACAACACAGATATGGAAAGAAAAAAACACCAAAAACACAAGACACTCATATCATAGAAAGCAATGGGAAATGGAAAAGTACTACAAGTCCATTCATAATAAGAACCTCCTCACACACGTACACACAAACACATATACACACACGCAAATTCTTATTCCCATTCCAATATTTCCCATTTTAAGAATGCGAAGAATACTCGGACACTACCTCAGTTTCCACCTCCCTTCTGTGGAAGTTCCTGTGGCAGCTGCAGGCTGCACAAATGAGTGCACCGTCGGTCCCATCCTCCCCGCTGGCGATGAACTCCCTGCAGCCGTCAACAGCGTAGCCACCGGTGCTAGCGGCATGATTCTTCTGGCATTCTACATATCTCACACTCCTAATTGTCAAAGATGAAGCAGTGTTGCTTCTTGCAGCCTCATCTCTCTTCACAACCACCTTACACTTCTTCATTTCTTCACTTTCTTCCCCTCCAAACACTTTAGAGCTAAATTCACAATTCCCCAATTGGTTTTCTTGTCCAGAAGAAGGCATGAAGAGAGAGAGAGAGAGAGCAAAAGCTAGCTCATTTTTTGGTTGATAATCAAAACCCTAACCCTAGAAGGGATACTTATAGGCGGTAATTCTTTAATAGTGATTTCTTATCTTTTTTACATTAGTGACACGTCATCACTTTTCCAGCAATTAGTGTGTTTCTACTGTTCATTCATGATGATAATGTGGTCTTTACCAGTAAACCCATAGAAGGGTCGTTGTGAATTGATCATCCAACTGCTTGCTAACAACTAATTAGGATGGAACAAAAATAATTTTTGTCAAATATAATGCAAAACAGTAAAAAGATTAGAAAGGAATATATTAGGACCATATTTAGTGTTTGGTTTGTTATAGAAAACCAGCTAAGCTGGTTTCTGAAACTAATATTCTGTGGACCCTATACTGATACTGAAGGTGGGTACTATTATTTTCTAGACTGACCCATAATCAAGCTGTGCAAAATTGAAAAGTTATTAGATGGTCCGAATTGATGACGTAATCAAACATGTTAATTTTTTTTAATTTTTTGATTGCATGACTGTTTGTAATTGACCAAGATTATATGGTCACGAATCATTTAATAATTTCTCGTACAAAATCATTCCGTATATAATGATCATGTTTATGCTTATTTGCATTTTACAAATACAAACAAAACTAACTACCATTTCTAATAATGCAATACCATGCTTCCTCTATGTTGTGTGACATCATGTGTGCACAATTTCATACATATAATATCATACACATACTCAATAACAATTAATAAATTAGTAGATCTTTTGGTACTAGGAAAATGTTAATTAAATACTCCCATTGAGTAGCAAGTAGGAATGAAATTAGGGTTGCCATTATTTTAGTAATCAGAAACTTCCTTTTTCCTTTGTTTATTTGGTAGTCTGTGTCTTCACATTCTTGGAGGGAAATCAACAAATTGCATATCTACACCTGTATAAAAGTGATTGATAACTATAAATTGAAGTGTTTAATTTACAGACACTAATATAGTTACAAACTTAAAACTAACATACCATGGTAATTTACAGCTATTATTTGTATTTTTTTTATTTTTATTTTTCATTTTTGGGATTTTTCCAAATGCATCGATTGCAAATCATGTCTTTTCACGTTATCAAAAATATTGCCAACATTCTTCCATTATTATTGAAAATTTTGGGAGAAGAGTTTTGGTGAATAATATCTATTTTTTCCAATTTAGGCTGATCATAGTCAGTGAAATAGTGATTAAAAAGGTTTTGATTTCTGATGCTTCAATTGGACAATTTTGATTGTATTGTTTGGACATCAGTCATCATCCCTTCTCTAGTAGAGTGTATAGCCAAGCTAGTTTATGTTATTTTCATGAAATAACTGAATCTCACCAAAATTTTCATTTGAAGAGAGAGACTGAGTTAACCAGTGAATGATCTATCAATCATAGCACCTTATTTTAGTATGGCATTGTTTGAAGAGAGAGGAATGTGTATAAACTTGTGCACTTTTACAACAAAAGTACAGTCGTTTCAGCAAGGGAGTCTAAAAGTTGGGTAGAACAGAAATTAGCTGATCATGTGGTTTGGTGAGAGTTCTTTCATCTATATATAGAATGACAATGTTGAAAATTGGTAAGATTATAGGGAAAATAAAATTAAAGTTTGCTTGATTTAGTTCTCTAAAATCAGTTTTTCAAGAATGAATAATTTTTAGGGATAGTTTTGTATTTTTTTTTTGGGTGAGAAATAGCCATAAAAGGCTTTAGAGAAACTCTTCTACGCTTTTTTTCCCCCTTCCTGTGAAGCTGACCACCATTGATGAGACCAAACTCAAGACTTTCACCTTATATATAGTTCTTAATTAACATTACTACACTAAGATAACTAGCAAATTTCATACTAATTAATCCGAATCTGTTTAAACCTGCAACAAAATTCCGAAATATTCTGAAAATGTTATTTCGGAACCCTAAATAATGGATTTTGGCCAAAGACAACCTCAATCACAAGCTAGCTAGCAAAACATAACTAGTGAGTTTTAATCTCGATAGGTCATTTCTAATCGAATATGAGTCTATGAGTCTCATGGGTCAAAACAAGCTCACCGAATTCAACATGCCTGTTTGAAATTTGAACAACCCAACGGATCATATAAACTTCAGCAATAAGTTTTGTATGAACTAGTTGGTCCATAAATATTTGTTCAATACCTCACCAAATTTTAACAAAGCCTTAACCTTATCCATCTTGCCTCAATCCAAGCAAATTTAATAAAACAATTCTAGTTAATTAACATTAAAATCTGAGGGATTAACATGGGAAATTCATACCTAGCTAATAGGTAGTAGCTAGGCTAGTAGCATATATGTAAAGATTTTTCAAGATGCTTAGTCTATATGTTCTATTATTATATTCTGAGCCCTCTGACCTTCCTTTCACATCAACAAAAAAATCTCATCCTATGCCACAATGTAGCCTTTTGCAAGAATTTTAGATGGTTTTTCAGTGAAACTTATTGTGGTTTAACATTAGGTTTGGTAATGCAGTATGAGGCATTGATTGGTTAGACTTATATTAGAAATGTGTATCCAACTTTCTTTCTTTTTATTTTTGGTCACAATTGGATGGTTAATTAATTTTACATCAAAATAGACATACCATAATTTAGTGACAAAAACTGAACTGAGACCTGGATGCCCACCATTCAATCCTCGTTTCAACAATGAGATATAGATTCTATGTATTCAGATAAATAATTGTCCTTTTTATAACCCTTTACAGTTAGAAAGATAATTTCTACTTTTGGTAATATTAGGCATCCTTTTTGAATTATTTTGGTTTTGGTTTGCTAGCTTTTGGAATGAATAAGAAGAACAAAACAAAAACTTATTAATACATTTATATTATTGAGTTTAGCAAATGACAGCCTAGTTTGATCCCCCCTCTCCCCCCTATCCTCCTCTCTCACTCACACACACACAAACACAAACACACAATCAAATCTATCATGGGTGGAGGTTTGAACTTTTAAATTTGAATTCTAGGTCACCCACCTTATCTTTTTGGATGCATTCATGCTCACGTCCATCTAGAGTATACTCAGTTGTGTGTGTGTGTGTGTGAGTGTGTTTTAGGTTAAAAGAAGTAACAAAGATTCCATATGGATTAATGTAACACAAAGATAATTAGAAATATTGTGTGTTCCATCGTACTTGAAAGTGAAAAAGTATCATCATGATGTAGTTTTCTGTAGCACTTATTCAATTAAGTGCATGCGATAATGAAATAAGCTTGCAAAAAAAAGAAAAAAAGATAACGAAATAAGCTAAGAACACCAAAGTGATATTTCACTTATCAAAGAAAATTTAAAATTTTAAAAAATATTTAAAAAATCTAAATTAATAATGATCAATTAAAAAAATACAGCAGTTAAAATTAAGCTCTTAAAATTTTTAGTACTTAATTTTCAATTTTATCTAAAAAGGTATTAAGTAGTGGTTTGGAAACACCATGATTGATTTGCAAGTTGCAACTCTAGCAAAAAAAAAAAAAAAAAAATTTAAATAAGCAGCAAATTAAGTTAGAGGGAACTAATTATGTTAAGATAATGGTTTGGAATACGAAAGTCAGATAAATCGGACTGATTTATGTGAGTAAAGGTTAATATCATCATGATGTTATTAATATTCATGATGTCATGATGATATCAGCCTTTACTCACATAAAATTAATTGAATGTGTCCAATTGTCGGACTCCGCATCCTTATTCATTATGTTATTTATAATTAGCTTGTTAATTTAATTTCTCTTTTTGAGTCTCAAATCAATAACACCAGCAAATTAGGTTAGAGGGAACTAATTTCAATTGAAACTTATTATGAACCAAAACAAAGAAGAAAGGGGAAAAAGGGATTGGATTTGATAATGCAATTGAGGGTTGATGGGGACTTAAAGACAATTATATCATTGTGTTTTGTGAAGGGTAATGAAAGATGACGCAATTTGCTTCTCACCAACCCAACCCAACTTGTGGACTCCAAATAAAAAGAGTTTCTTGGTGGTCCTTGAATTAAAGCATCTTAGGCTTCTAAATCCACTTTTTCCATTGGATTAAAACTGACATAACAAATCACCAAAAAAGTCACTAATAAACATTAATTGCACTCACTTATAATGGTTTTAAATGGATGTGTTTACTTATATCAAGAAACTTAATTAATTAATTGGTGTTGATTGGTACTAGTGTACCTTTTTATAGGGGTCTAATAAATTACTTTTCATTTAATAATTTGGATTAAACTGACACAACAAATCACCAAAAATGTCCACTAATAAACAATATTAAGTACAGTCATATTCAAAGATTTAAATGGAAATGTTTACTTATATAAAGAAACTTGGTGGCCATTGATGATTGGTGCAATTCAAGACTCATATACTTGAAGTAGAAACCATATTTTGCATATTCACTGTTATGAATCAATCAAATAGTTCCTCCATATGCTTATCGATCATGGCTTGTTAGATTGGACCCCAGCTTATATAATTAGATCTTATTACACGAATTCACGTAAAATTATTTATTATAATCGTATCAGTGTAAACAGATGATTAAAAAGACTTTTATCAAAGTACATATAATATTAATTTTTGTTTTACAATTAAATACTTTATCATTACAACGGTTACAATAAATAATTTCTCATGTATGACATATCCATATTGTTTTCATAGGATTTATTTATGTATATAGTTTTGATCTGTAGAGCAATTTTTTTTTTAATTTAAGATATTATATTCTAATTTCTTATTTATATTGAATAGATTCACTTTTGAAATTTTTTTCTTTGATAAAAAATTTTCTAAGGATTGAAGAGATAATTAAGTTATTTTTATTTTACAAAGGCACAAATTAAATTCCATGTAACCAAGAAAAATTTATATTACTTAAGGTTTGGTAGGTCTGATGCCATTTTCACCTTCAGCTCAAGTCAAGACCCCATTTATGATCCCGTCTTTTCTCAAGATGTGAAAG